TTCATACAGGACGTGGAAGGTGTGCCTATTTATTGAACAAACGGGACATCAAGGACTCACCCAACTGCATATGCAGTGAGGTGCAGTCCGTGAGCCACATTGCAAACTCCTGTCCTGAACTTGCATATCATGGAGGGATTGAAACAATCCACTTAGCCACCCCGGATGTCATCAACTGGCTATCAAACCTCAACATACAACTTTAATTAAGCTGCACCTTCTCTGCCATTGCTTGCCTTGGCCATACAAAAGAAAGAAGTAGTTGAAGAAGTGAGGAGACTTGGCTTCCTTCCTCCAACGCATAATCCCCTTCCGTTGCCACTGGCTGCACAGGCAGTGCTAGGAAACATTTTCAGGATGCACACTACCCTGGGAGATGAAACAGCCTTGGTTCTTCCATCACCATCTCCTCTTCTTCCCACTGTGCAAGTGTAGCACCAAACTCATTTCCTAATCTCCTTTAAGAAGTGCTGTGAGACTTCTGGACACAAGGTGCACAGAAATTTGGGAGTATAATAAAACTACAAAAAAGATTCTCTTAATCACATTTTATTTTACTATTTACATTTTCCTAAGGGCATTTATGCTAGCAAAAGGTGAATGAGAAGTGGTAGCCCAAGCTACCGTAGCACTGCACCTGGTGTGTAATCTGGATGAAAACAGGTAGCGTGTTATAGGAGAGCAGTTCAGTCTTGTGCCCATGCAGTGAGTGGTCTTGCTTGAGACCTGCTGGCAGTGGGATTAGAGGGGATGTGGTTTTGGTAAGAAAGCCATCTGAGTGCTAGGAGCCAAACCGAGACCATGGACTCCTTGCACTTGTCACCCAACCCAGCTTCAGGGCTCGGCTCAGTGTGCAGGTTGAAACACGGCACTGCAGACCGTGCAAAGGCAGAGGAGATGGTGCAGTACGTGCGCTGAGAAGCTCCTGGAGGTGTTGAATGCCTGGCTGCTTTCTGGAGGTCATGCCATGACAGCTCCACAAAGTGCCCGGCACTGGCCCGCATCTCTAGCACACTCAGAGTGGTACTGTTTCTATCAGACTCTTGGCACGTTGCTGGTGTCACTTTGGTCACCTCAGACCCAATCTAGACGATGTTACAGCGTGTAGAATATTGAGTCTAAGGAGAGCTTATTTGCACAGATCTGCTCCTGGTGCGTGTGAGCCCCATGGGAGAGACTGAACTCTTTTTGAGTAGTGGTATCTATTGTGGATGTGCCCCCAAGCTACCATAGCCAGGGGCATATGTTTTACTGGGCTCTCTGGAGCATAAACAGGGCAATGGCTGCAACTGCAATTCAGTTCCCCCTTACTGCCTTGGGACTGAGACGAGCAGAAGTGTCTGCATTTCTCACATAGCTTTCCAGGCACTGAGATGCCTGCTCTTCGAGCTTTAGCTTTGTAGTTTTAGGTGCTTAGAATTAGAAAAAATTTCTTTACTTATTGGCCAAAAAAAGCAGTCACCGACCTGTCAGGATGGACTCAAGTCTTCCAGAGCCACCCATCATGTGACTACTAAGAGCTGGCCTTTTGATGCCTGTTCTGGCTGGGACTGGAGCATATTTCAGAGAACTGGTCAGCATGCCTTTCGTTCTCTGAGGACCCTCAAGAACGGTGGCAGAACAGGTGGTTCTGGGTGGAGAATCCATGTAGCCCATGGCCTGTGTCTGTAAGTAGCCTGGGAAAGGTCATCTTGCCTTGGCACTGACCAGCTATGGTTGCACCGTCTCCACAATGGCTTCCAAGAGGCCTCATTTCGCAGCCTCAGTACTGCCAGAGGTGTGGGGGGAAAGAACGCAAGCTGATGGTTTGGAGGCAGATCATCCTCCTGATCTAAGCAATGGCCATAAACTTGTGGAAGAAGGTTTCAGACTGGATGTAAGGAAAAACTTCTTCACGGTTTGTGCGACCAGACGGTAATATGCAGGGGCAGTGCGGGCACCTACCCTGGAGATCTTCAAAAGGAGACTGGACACACACCTTGCTGGGGTTATTTGACCCCGGCAGTCTTTCCTTTCTGGAGCAGGGGGGCTGGACCCGATGATCTCACAAGGTCCCTTCCAGCTTCTATGAATCTGTAAGAGTCTGAAATTTTGTCCTTTGATCCATTCTGCTAAACTCTCAGCTCTAAGACCCTTCTGGACCTCCCAGCTCCATAAAGCAAGCCAGCAGCACCAAAAGTGCTCCTTGCTCAGGACTGGATATCCCAGGATTAGAAGCCATTTTGTCACTGAAGCCATTTACAGAAGTGACCAAACTTTATGTTCACCTGGCACTAGGGTCCAAGTGACATTATCTCAAGGGATGCACCAGATCTGACCTGTTGTAGACCAGCAAGATCCACGTTTCCCAAACAACACCTCTGCTCTTTCTCATTATCCACACTGGAGTACTCTCTTCACCATCCCATTCTCCCCCATGAGTGGCACATGAGGGATTATCTAGGGAACATCCCTGATTTTTGTTTATTAAAAAGAATTTTTCAGTTTTCCAATTTTCATTCAAATCGCTACGTTTCTGACCAGAGGGTGATTCCAGCTGTAGTGCAGGCGCGTGTATATGGCTTGGCCTACATAAGCCATGACACGTGCAGCCTTCTCATCTGCCGTCTTGCACCTCTTCTGCCCCTGCGATATCTGAACTTCTCTACTGGTAGAATCAAAGGCAAGAGCCACCACCTCCCATCAGCACACCACTCCCATGTTGAGGTACCCAAGTTTCCATGACTTACTGCAGTTTGTTTCTCCTTTTTTTTCCTGGAGGCTTATAACCCCTGTCACTTGCCGGTTATTTAGGAGTAAAGGAAAGCATTATCTTTGTGCTCAGACTCCTGTTTTAAAGGTGATAAGAGTGTTCAAAACCAAAGTGATGACTCCCCCACTCCACCAGGCTCTGGGCCCGCATTTAGTTGCTTGGCTCCAAGGTGCTCTGTTAATGAGTGCCCCCAGTGGCCTTTCATTTTCCTGTTGGAGCGTCCTTGTGTCAACCACTCACACAAGACAGAAGGGTGTAGCTCTGACTACTTCTGTCGGGCGTTCTAAGTGTGAACGCAGTGTCATGAGTAGCGATGCAGAATGAAGGTCATCTTAGTCGTTCGCATAAGCTGGTCGGTGTAGAGTCGAGGAGGAATACCCTGCCATGTAAAGCATTGCACAGCTGGCTAGTGACGAGGTGCTCTCTCGATCAGTGGAGCTACAGGGGTTTGTGACACCTTTGCAAATCAGGGTATTGGTATGTTATGGTGTTTGGGGAAGGCTCAGGTGAGGGTGGATGTCTTCTTCCAAAGTATCAGGGATGATCCACTGGCATGTGGAGGATGCTGATCCTGTCTAGTGCATATTTTGTTCCTAATAGAACTTACCATGCCGTTGGGGAGCTTTGTTCATGTTTATTAATCTTCTCAACTTTGACTGATTAGTTTTATTTGATTAACAAACCCATCAGATATTGTAAGGACTAAGCCCAGGGGTTTTATGAGCACTGCATAATCTTGGGAAAAATACAGTAGACATGTGCAATGAGCAACTTGCATCCAGCTTCTGAAACCAAGTTGCCTTGCAATGTTGTTGTGTAACCCTGGGGCATCTATTACAAATTGTCTGGAGCAAGCGCTGGTGCTTCATGACGTGTTGGTCGTAGAAGCCAAGGTTTGTACAGGCATTCAAGGGACTGAAACAGGGGAGAAGAAAGACCCACCATAGTCTTCTAGGATTTAATGAGTCGTCTTTGCGGGCAGTTTGGTTGATCGTTCTGGATTTATTTGAGGGTGTTCTGAGGCCGAGCTTTGCAGGTGAATGGGTATGAAGTCGGTTTACAGGTATGTAAACTGTCCATACTCTTCCAACCAGCACATAGAAAGCTGTTTTGCTAGTTGTGCAAGTGTCTACACAGACAGGCCAAGTGTGATGCTGCAAGGAGAGAGGAGCAGGGATTAGGTGGAAGATGCTGGACATGCCCTGGTCTCCCTCCCGCTCTGTATCCACTGTCCTCCACTGTGTGGGACAGGACACTGGGCAAGATGGACCTATGGCCTGACCCAGGAAGTGGCAGTTTTCATGTTCTTTTATTTTACTTTGGGCTCTTTTCTTTGCAACTAAACCCAACCCACTCCCAGATACAGGCAAGATCATCACCAGTCGTACTAATGGAAAACTCCACCACAGTTTGAGGAGCTGGAATGTTTATTGGCTCAATTGAGGTAATTGGATGAACGGTCCAGAGCAGCGGAGCATATTGTTTAAGCTATAAAATGCTATGGGGCCAATTGGTACTATCTGCATTTTTTTTCAGTTTGATCAGAAAGATTTTGGATTAGAGAACAGTTTATTTCAGAATCCTAAATGCTAATTCCTTGAAAAGGTGCTGGTCTCTCGCAGTTGAAGGTTTATGGCTTTGATCATGGCCACATCTAATTTAGAGTCAACTGTAGTTACAGCTGTGCAACTTGGGAGTCTTTTTATGTATTTATTTATTTCAATCGTCTCGGTGTCCTGGGTATTGGGAACATAATCTGACTTGCTTCAAGAAATTCAGAAATTGAAATACAGGGCTGGAAAAAAAAATAATTGCAAGTAGAGCCATGCAATTAAATTTTGACATATTTTTAGGTATGCGTTTCAAAATATTATTTGACCGGTATTACCTGTTAGCTTGCTGAATGCCGGTATGCTAGCAGGGAAAGGTCACTGTGACAAAATGAGTAATAAAGCAGCAATAGAAATCAGTACTGAATTTCCACTGCTCAGTGGTTATTTTATGTTATATTTGTGTTTAGTTTTTGCTGGTATAAATGTGTCCCAAATTCTCCATTGAAATTTCTTTTCTTATTGATATCAGTGAGAGTTCGGCTTGCATAAAACGTTCAGAATATGGCCCTCTAATCTCACTTAAGCCACTTGTATTTTCAAGGTGTCTTTAATGTCTAAAAATATTTTAATTTCTTTTTTTTTTCCCCCCCTTCCTGTTGTATTTTAGCCAAGCAAGTGTGTCCGGCTGAAAAAATTAGCTGTGGGGACTTGAGCAACAAATGTATCCCATCGTCCTGGCGATGTGATGGGGAGAAGGACTGTGAGAGCGGAGTTGATGAGGCTGGCTGCAATACTGGTGAGTTAAAAATAATGCCTAGCATATAGGCAGCATCTTTGCTCCAGAAGTCTCCTAATGTGATTTACCGATGGTATGTGAAGGGATGACCTTTCCCACTAACAAGAGCCCAGTGTCACTCTCCCTGTCTAATGCTATGGCAGGAAAAGAGATTAAAAGAAAAAACCCATCTTTACCAGTTGCAGCTGCCTGGGAATTCGAAGTAAATTGTGTAAACAACGTGAGTACTCATTTGCCATTCTCGTACTTGAGATGGAGTGGATCAAAAGAACCATTCCAGAAGTCTTTGCGGGGAAAAAAGATTTTTAAAGTCGAGTGGGGTTGGATAGAAGAGCATTTACACTGTCATCTGTTTTGGAATAGGGACTGTGGTTCAGTGCTTCCCTTATGAGGTGCTTAGCCCACATCAGGGAGTGCTACAGGAATACTTAATGATAATTAGGAATCCAAGGTGAGCCTGCCAACGGGCCAGAGTGCTCCACGAGCCTGACCGAGCTTGAAAACAACTGCAACCCACAGGGTGCCAGGTCTTAGCTGGTGGAAATCAGAATAGTGGATTGGCTTCAGTGGAGCCTGTGCTAAATTACATCAGCTGAAGGACTGGCTTAAAAGAGTCACTGGCTACCCCGAACTGAAAGGGGAAAGCTTTTTGGTGCTTCAAGTGAAACATTTCCCTTCATTTTGGCTTTACGAGCAGCAGCGTTTTTTCTGTAGCTCAACTGTCTTTGGTGGGTTTAAGAAAAAGAAACATGGGAAGCGGGAAATGGAATAAAAATGCACCTGGGGCAGTCCTTGTCTCTTCAGCCATTCGTTACCATTAGGGGACTGCAGGATTCGGTTGCTGCTGATTGCTGCGCAGACCTCTGACTGTGCTAACCGATTGACCGAGATCCATTACAGGACTCGTAGGCAGTTACTTGCACCGAGCTGTATTTTGTTTTGGTTTTTTCCTACTTGCAGTTCATGGTTCTTTAAGTATTTCCAATGTCAAGTGCAGTGAGATCAATAAATAATCTCCCTTAAAAAGCTATGGGAACATTTAGACATACGAGGGCAAATTCTGATCTCGGTTACAGTGGCACGGCCACATTGGCTCGATGTGCTTCAGAGCACAATTGGCCTTAGCAGGTAGAAGAATATCATCCTTCTCTTCACGATGATTTATCTTACAGTGCTAAAGAGATGGTTCCTGATGCCCCTGCTGGAGTTACTTTTCATGCTGTACACACAGCTTAGTGCAGGGTTTGTACTGTACGAGGAAACAAGCACGCTGTTCGTGCAGTATTTTAGAGGAGTGCCTTAATAAATTAAACATACAGAGAAAAAACATTAAATAATGCTGCTAGTTCCATACCTTTCCATTTTTGCAGATTCAAAAGAAAAACAGTGGCATGCTTGCATATAAAACTGGGTATGGTTCAGCAATTTGATTCTTAATTGAAGTGTCTTTAGTAATTTAAGAGCCTAAGTTCCACTTTAAAAAAATATAGGCGCGTAGGAATATAAGGCCCTTCTGGGTCATCAAATCCAGTTCCCTACTGTTGCACGCCCTACGTCATATAAAACCTTTCATAAACTCACCATGCTCCATTTGAAAAGTCCTTTAGCTAGGTTTGTGCCCTGCTAGTCCCAGTGGAAGACTAGCCCCAAACCTCCCTGTTCTAGTGGTTAGGAGCCTCACTCTTATTTCAAGCTTGAATTTTATTCATGGCCAGCTTGTTCTTGTGCCAACATTGTCTCCTCTCACCCCCGGTGCTTACCTCCTGGTGTAAGGTCAGCAGGCATATCCTCCCTCGGCCTTTGTTTTGCTCTTCTAGCTTCCTCTTATAAGAAAGACTTTCCATTCCCCAAAGCGTCTAGTGGCGTCTCTGCACCTGTTCATCTTGATTTCAGCTTTCTTGAGCATGAAGGGCCAGACTTGCATATAGAGACTTCACACTGACTTCAGTGAGGCTCCTAAGCTCCTAAGGCACTTTTGAAGATTGGATTTAGAGTTATGCTACTTAAGCATTTCTGAAAATTGTGCATGTTATCTATATGGGCTCGATCTTATCCCCATAAAAATAAACTATCTGCCTTTTTGCAATTTGATCAGAAAGATTTTGGATTAGGGAACAGTTTATTTCCAAATCATAAATTCTAATTCCTTGAAAATGTCTTGAGTTTTATGGCCACCTGTTTTATGGTCAATATGCGCAACCCTTTAGTGGTGAGGAAGGGTAGCTTCATCAAGCCTGTGATTTATAATACATATTTTATTTTAAAGTCCTTGCTTTTAATTTCATGTTCTCCATGCTCACAGGTAGCCCCCATAAATGTATGTAAATGGGCTCTCTCACATTATTTCAGAGGATTTAGAAAGGGCGAGTTTCCCTTCTGGATGTTTCAATCTATGTATCCTCAGTTGTCGTTATCTTGTGTAGTGCACATGCAGGTTCTTAAAATGGAAATGGATCCGAGGACACATTATTTTCTTTGGATGGCTCTGATGACGACATAGCCTGTGTGAGATGAATTAGTGGCTTTTGTCTAGTTCTTTGTGGACAGGTGTCCATGCATCTGAACCATGTGGGTGCATGACGGCTGTCCTAGCAGGGAGGTCAAGGACTGAATCTGAGCGTGAGACGACCTGCTTTCTCACTGCACGGCTGGGCTGAGGCATCGTGGTAGGAAGGCTTCACCTTCCACTTGCATACCTTTTTGGGTGGATTAAGACAATGAAAAGCTCTTACTCTCAAGGCCCATCAGTCCCGAACTTTTCACAAGCGTTAAATTCACTTTAAGACAAGCAAGGCAAGGGATCAGTGTTGAGGTGCTGTCGGGAAGGCATTTGAGATGGGCAGAGTTGTCAAATTAAGGAGTTTTTCTCGTAGGCGAGGACAAACCTTGTCTTAGCTGTTTAAATTCGGAGGACTTGAAGAAGATTGGTAGCAATCCTCTCTTTTTATCCAAATCTGATAAACCCAGCTAAGCTTATCTACTGATACACTGTTAACATTCCCATTTCTTCTCTATTGCAAATCTTTCTTTATCCTTTTTCTCTTATCACGGCAGCACACGGCGTCCTGATTCAAGAAAAGAAAATGTCTGTTTCTAAGTTCAAACGTCCTTTTTTTTTCTGTGCTCGCTTTTTTGTTCTTGTTTAAATGAAGCTTCATCCACAACTGTCAACCGCAGCCCCCCACAGCAGAGCGCCCTGTCACACCAAAGCCTGCACCTCTCGCAGAGCTGGCAAACACGTCTAAATATAACGTCGCTCTCTGTAGAAATGTTTGGAAGGGGAGTTTATTTGTGCTGAGAGCGGTTTCCTTATTATTGAGAGCTTGCATGTGCCGTAAACAAGCAGAAGATGGCTGCACCCAAGCAAATGAAACATCCAGCAGGAAATCTCTTAGCTGTTTCTAAATCTATATTAATCACCTCCTTGTTCTGAGCTAATGTGACACGCTGAGCACTTTTTAATTGCGGCCATTTCTATTTCTCGATGGGAGTAACTGGCCTTTAGTACTGCAGTCTTTCTAAAGATCGTACACCGAGTGTGAAAGTCATGAATGTCACTTCTTCTGTGCATGCTTTTATGACCGCATTATTGTGTAACACTAGTAGCATTACACTGGCACCTACCGGCCTGAGGTGAGAACAGGGCCCTATTAAGCTAGTGGCTGCACGGACACAGACTGGAAGGATCCTTCCTGCTTCCAGGAGCTCCCTGGTACTACGGTGTGTCGAACAAGCATTAGGAAGGACCTGGGGAAGAGCCACAGAATCACAGGATGGGAAGGAAAGACCAAGGAAAGGGGTGAGAAGTCGCACTTCCCCTCCTGCCCATGTCCATGTTGCACGGTTCAGTTGAGGGAGAGCAGACTGATTTCAGAAACTCAGTGGACAAGACTATGGGAACAAATCCCAGGCTTTGGTCCTTGGAGCTTCCATGTTTTCTAGCAAAACTATTAGATCTCCTTTCTGTGGCCAGCTCATGGACAGCATTGGGATCACATCTGGTTGGAGAACAAACAGGTGCATCCCTGTCCATAGTCATTAGTGGAAGACAGTTGGCAATGAGTTATGCCTTTACCGCGCTGCTTAGAGCAGTGCAGGGTGGCCTAACCCTCGTGCCTTTGTCCTTAGGCAAAATGCCCATTAAAATGTGTATTGCCTGAGAGAGGATTTCTGTATTAGGCCCAATGCTGAGTCCTGGGCTCAGCTATATAAGCTTCTTGGCAGCTCTGTTCTCCACAGTGCCTCCACTGGGAGGCTGACTGCACAGCTGGACTTTGCTGTTGCATGTAATCATACTTAGTACATTTTGTGTATGAAAATAGGGCTAAAAGAAAATCCATAGCCTGAGCCGTGCCCCCCAAGATCCAGCCACAGGGCTTAGCAGGTCATCTTAGCTGTCGTCGGTGGGGGATCAGAAGTAGGTGTTGATAGGACATGGGGATTTCTTTCAGGCAGACACTACTGTCAGAGTCACCTGAGCGATCCACCTGAACACCTTGTCGCTCTCTGTTAGCGGGTACTACCCAACTTCCTTACAGATGGCCCTGAGCACAAATAGGCTGGGATGCAAATATTGGCACAGAATATGACCGAGTGCAATATTCCCAGCCAAGAACACATCAAAAGACCCTGTTTCCAGAGCTCGCCACCTTTGCCCATTCCAACTGGTGAATGGGCGCAGACCCCGTCAGCAGATCGATAGATGCCCTTGAGCGTGGGCGGAGCAACAAGCTATAGCTGGCATGTGGTAAGAGTCCCGGAGTCCCAAAGGCAGAGTTCATCATCAGAAGCATCGTTGGGACCGGCCTTCCTTCACATGGGCTTAGCAGACTGGGCTGCACCCTGGTTCCAGTCAGAGCTGAATTAACTCACTTGAAATAAAGTTATCTTCCAGGGCCACGTTAGACACTTTGTGTGCATCCATTAGGTGCAGGTAGCTACGAAAAACAAGAAAACAGTCATTCTCTTGAATCTAACCCTTGTCCTTGGGGCTTTTCCTG